ATAGGCCTATCTTTTCTTTGACATCACAATTAAATTGCTAATTTCTCACTTCTAATTTGAACAAATGCAATAATGATGACGCTTCGAGACACCAAGAAACGATAATAAATGCGACTACTAAATAGCATAATAGTATTATAGAAGCCTTCTTGGAGGACTCTTGAATGAAAACTACTGGCAATGGAAGTGTGTCATCTTAGTGAACAATCTTCAATCTACATCTCAGAGTAACAATCTTCTTAATGTAACAATCTTCAAATAACGACGTGATACATTAAATCGTAGCGTACTACCTTTGAAACTTTAGAAATGGCACGTTCAGTAACTCGTGTAGTTTAGGAGGAATTGCATCCTGTTACATGTCCGCAACAGAACTTTACGAGGCTATAAGCGTGTTAGACGATTAAACTGCCTTACTCGAGAAACAAACTATTTGAAAATATAAAACTCTTATCTATTTAAGATGACCAAAAGATGATATTTATTTTAAAATGATTGAATATTTTGATGTTTTGCTTTTAGTTTTTATTTAATGCACCAGATACTGGAAAATAATTTCTGTATTCATTTCTGTATGACTGCTTTAATATTCACTGACTGCATTTTTATTTTAATAAACGTTTCTAGGAGATAACTTTTCCTGAGATGTAAACATAAAGAAGCTTGCGTGATGATGGATAATGTTCCTCTTTGGCAATGGATTTAATAATTGAAAACATTGCTCTCTCTTTTTTTCTTTTTTTCTTCAGACAAATAATACAATTAATAAAATATCTTTGTTGGTAGCATGCATTTAAATTATATATTAAAATTAAATTATTCTAAATAAGATATATTTTATTAAGCTATAATATATTGTAGATAAGAGTTGAGAAAAAGTCTTATGATTTATAAGATAGAATAAGTTATTGTTACTCGGTTTAAGTTTTAGATTATCTTTATAGAAGTTATAAATGTAATAATGTCGAAGGAATGTTTTTGAAGAGAAATGAGGTGTAAAACAAAAATCGGTCATTGAATTTTAATTTCGGCGTGCATTAAAGCATAAATGTAGTATAAAATGATTATTAACATTCTGATATCGATTCCATTGTACACTTTATGTGAATCATTAACTAAATGTGTGAATTGTGCAATTTTTTGTTTCTCATATCTTGAATAGTAATAAAAGTAATAGATTATTATTAATAAAATAAATATATGTCAATATAACTCTTGATTTGTACATATAATATCTATATTATATGTGGACAAATATAATATTTCATATCGCACAAATATAAATATTTAAAATTAAATTTACACTTAACTTTAACATTAAATTAAATAAATATTAAAATTTATTTTAAACCCGAAATTATTTTTATATTAAATAAACCTACTACTTATTTTTGAAGTGTGTTGATATTGCCAAACAAATCCGTCAAATTTAACTGACAAATTGATCATTTTGTGGTATTTTTTAAAATAAATGTCTGCACACGATGCAAATTATAAGTAAAAAATTACTGTAAAAAAATCGGTACAGTTTTACGTGTTAATGAAGAATTTGTGGCGTCTCGAAGAGTGTACATTGCAAATCAACTTTACAGAATACACTTTAGAGCTTGCATCTCATTTATGATGAGCGTTATTTAATGTATTATAAAGGGAGGTGTAACATCGTTACTCCGTTAGAAGTTTGTTAGCATAGAATAAAGGTGTAATAAGTAACGTTACAAAGCGAATGTTAGCGTTAACAAGTTATAAAAGATACAGTGTGTCTTAAAGCATTGTATTTTCTTTCGCTATAAAATATTTGGAGGAGAAAAAAATTATAAGAGACCATGACTCCTCCAGAGAGAAAGTTATTTAAAACTCCTCCTTATGTTCAAAAATATGATTTAATTAGAATTTTAATAGTTTTCATTGTTTCACTGCTTCAATGCATATTAATTCGTTTTTGAAGTTAGCAATAATAAAAAAATTTGTTTGCTTTATGAAAAAAATGCGATAAATTGCAAACACACTATAAGAATTTTATTATTATCAACAGAAACTTTTACTATGAAATTGCGCTTAATCTGGAAGAGAGCTGTCCGGCGCGTACTTTATGCGCGATCGGTATTTTCACTTCCCCATTCTCTGCCTCATTCCTGCAAGTCTTGTAGGAGAGGGTCTGACGCATTCCGAGATAGTGCGAATCGATAAGAAGTCACCCACCGCCTCGGATACAAATACACGATCTTTTCTACATTGAATGTAACTGTGCAGAGAAAATTGCTCGATATTCGCAATTCTGATTTCGTTACTTGTGCCAGTTCTTACAAACAAAATTATGAATTTTCACAAATTAGGATTTCTTTTATAAATTAAAAAAAAATTCCTAAGGATTAAAAATCTTTTACTGAGAAAAATAGTATAATTGAAAATGGACAAATAGAAAATTTTCCAGTAAATTTAACAAACTCTACTTAAGATATCCGGAATTCTGATTGATTTAATCAGAATTTTTTAGTTTATCCATTTTCAACCAAACCATTTTCCTCAGTGTTGGATTAACATGTGATGTATTGTTTAAGCTGAATATTTTGTCTACGGTCAGACTAAACGCCGAGCTGTATCACTGCAACTATGGAATGCCAATAAAAAACGATAATGTTCTTTCGATGAAACAATGAATTGCGGATTCAAAGCAATTGAGGCATTCCTGCATCATAGCGATAAGATTTTGTAATGCCGCAAAAAAGGATTATTTTTGCTAAAATGTTGATAAATATTTTGAAGCCCAGACAATATACTTGAGTTAAAATTAAGACATAATCTAGGTTCTCAACCTTGCTTTAAAAAGTTATAAGCCGTAAAACCGTAAGAAATTGACTGCAATCACAGTCGAATATGAAAAAAATAATCGACTGTGATTGGTCAATTTCTTACAGCTTTATGGCTTACAGCCATAAAAACATCTTTAAAACATTTTGGACATATCGTACTGCCTAGGCAGTTTTTAAAATTTGGATCAAAGTTCTCCTGACTGAAAAAGTTACCTTACTTTACAAAAAATTAAAAAACCCGATTGAAAGATATTATGAAATCTTAATACGTTTTTCTTTGAATAGTATTAAAAAAACATTTACTTATAGTAAATAAATATTATCCAATGAAGGAAAAGATAGTTTAATCAAATAATTGTATGTTTACATTTAGTAAATATCTATTTTAAACTATTCAAACAAACAGTTATTAAAATTTAGTATTTTTAAAAAGCATATAGCGGTGTTTTAATCTCCAAAGATTGTTTATAAATTGCTACAGCGTTGTTTCATTTTTGAATATGAATATGAATGTACATTACGTAACAATTATAAGATAAGAAAGAAATTCTACCTAATTATTTAATGTTTTATCCTGAAAACTGTTCCTTTTCTTGTGATGCACATCCATTTAAATCAATGCATTAAAGATACTCTATTGATTCTTCTTGGATGCTTCACGGATTCAGAAAGTAGAGATCATAAATTTTCACAAAATGAATTCCGTTGGAGACGTATTCGAGTATGCCAATATCCATTATATTTGCCCAGCGAGATTCCGTCCAACGAGAATTGGGATTGAAATTTGTCGCGCAACAAGTAGTTAACGTTTTAGCAATTATCGCGCCAAGTCGAATCTGATAAAGCATCACGCGGTAAATATGAATAAAGTTTGATGGTAGAAATTTCATATTAGAAGCTTTTTGCATCATCGAGTTCAGTATTATGCTTTGCGAAACTTTCGATCAGTTTGCATTATTTCTGACAGTTGCTTTCGTTTGTGCTCTTGCCAAGTTGCTTACGGTCATGCATAGAATCCTTCATTCTGAATATTTACTAGCAGAACTATTAACGTAACATTTACTTGATAATTACACAGCAATTTCGCAAGTTTTAACGGCGAAATAATATATATAATACAAATACTTATGCGCTGATCAAAATGTGCTTCAATTAATCCTTTTGTCAATACATAAGTATATTAAATTTTTAATAGTAAACATTTTTATATTTATAATATGTGTGAACTTTGTTATGATGCTTCAAATTGCCTTTAAATGACAAAGATCAATTTTATACAAACTTTAAATCGTTTTCAGTTTTATATTTTTATTAAAAACGTGGAACACCGTATTGAAAAACCAATTATGCATTGACAGAAAGATTAATTAAAAACTATTACCTTTTTGGTTACACAGATAAAAAAGCGAATTCAAAGCTGAATTTCCGATACCACATAATATCTGTACATAAAATACTTATTCAATTATTTCCCAGCAAACACAAAGTTACATATAACGTGCCTATTAGTTGTAATTTCCTATTCAATAATATAATTGTAATACTTGTGTTATATTAGAATTATGTTATTGAGTAGGAAATTACAACTAACAGGTACATGTAACTTTGTGTTTGCTGGAATTGTCATGAATGTATATAGAATTTCAGCCAGAAAAAGGTAAAAATTTATCTTCACACATAAAACTTATTAAAATATTTATACGGTTTTCGAAAATTTTTATACGAATAACTCAAGTATTAGACAATAAACGACATTATTAGACATTAAGCAATAAATTTAATTTTTCATCGTAAAAATTATTTTCATAATTTAATTATTTTGTCTTAAAATTTAGGGAGGGAACAAGCAACACTCTTCTCTTGTGTGTCCTCCTTGAAGAAACATTTACATATCTTGTGTTTATCAGTCAGCCTTGTGTTTATCAGTCAATTTTAGATTAGATCTTGAGATCGATTCTATATCAATTATCTTTTCTTTTTCTTTCCTCGGAAACTGTCCTTGTAAAATAGACTGTAAAACACTTTGGTGCAGAAAGATTAATCAAGATTAATCACTAACATGACCAGATTCGTGAAAGCAATACGTTATGTTACGAGCAATCGTGCTTGGCCTTTTTTTCACAAGTTCAGACTACGAAGCCCGACCTGAAGGGTTAAGGACAATTTGTCATTCTGTTCCCCGATAAGATCGTAATCATGTTCCTATACCTCCGGGTGACGTGTATTGCATGCCCGGGCTAAACAGCTGCCTAATAACATCGATCATCGCGGACGTCGAAGAATTGGTTTGCGTCGCGAGCATGGGGATTTATTCATCGTTCAGCGAAATCGGGCATCTGTCATGGAAATTCTCGACGAAAACGGCAAAGGACATAAATGCCGTGAAAATTGTGGAGCGGCACGAATGCTCCACCGGGGAATTTGACGTTCTTCTGTTGGAACTGGCTTACGACAGATTGTTTAGCCTTCTTTGGATCAGCAGGGTGGAGTGTGAGGTGGCCTCGTATTTGCATAAGTTTATTGGAAATATAGAACAACGTGCAAGGACTCCGTCGTTCATGTAAAGTATGCGATTTGCAGCCGTCACGCGAGAGGCAAAAGGCATCGCAGTCTAGCAGATTGTTCTGTGTAAACAAGTATTGACAAATTGAAAATTTTGTCTCTCAAACAAAACCAGACCCGAAAAGAATCCTAATTTTTTTCAGCGGTTTTGCAGATATTACTAGTATCACATGTTCAATTGAAAATTTTTATTTTGTTGTAAATTAAATTAATTTAGATATTCATGCAATAATATGACTAATGTAGTTAATGTATTTATTAATGCAACAATTATTATAATATGATATACACATAGATTAATATTTGATAAAATTAATACAGAATTAATACGATTATATATAAAATAATTTAATATAATATATTAATATAATATTATACATTTATTACATTAAATATTATATATTTACACTAAGAAGCTCTTTATATCTTTATACGAAATATAAGCAAAAATTTTGCTTTCCTTTCAAACAGGGATTTTTAAAACTTTTAGTCAAAAATTTTTCAAAAGTTTTAAAATTATATATATGATCGTGTAGAAGTAATTTATAAAAAATTTAGAACTTTCCTTTCACAAATAACGTTTTGCGCTTCAAAAAGGCTAAGACACTTCATGTTTAACAGAATTTGACAAGTATTGGCGTGAATTAATATGTGATATAAATATTTCTATCGGATTTCCATTCGCAAGATCCATTTGTCTGCGTACTCTTTGCTTGAATTCATTGACAAATATCCTTTCGCGGCGGATTCCGTTGAAGCGTGCGACTATGGCGGAGAAAGACTAAACCGCATATGTCACGCGATATAACTTGTATGAAAGCGCTTGGGAACTCTTCCCGTAACCATTTCACAAAACTTACAAACAGGTTACGTCGATGGATGAAAGTCACGATACTTGTATATCCGATGGAAAGTACGACGGAAGATGTACGGAAGTCCCGGAACTGTCACCGTTTTCTTTCATCATGGAATGCCTTTGCAATCTGAAATCGAGTTTTGCTCAATCGCGACGCTCCGATCGAATGGCAGCTTTTTCCACGGCTTTTGCTCCGCAAATCTCAAAACTAATCCTTATCGATCCTAAAAGACTTAGTGGAAACGCGCCAATGGATTTGCAACAGAAGAGGTACCATCGACAGAAATACTTCGTGGGGATATTTAAATTATTAGTTTGCTAAAAGATTGAGACAGCAAACGGAAATCTACTATACAGGTCTCTCTCAGTTTATTTATTTAAAAGTTAACCGTTATGTCGCGAGTGATCCGATTATATGTATACTGATTGGCTTTGGTAGCTCGTCTAAACTATGCCATGTTGATAATATTGATAACATATTGATCTAAGCATGAGTCAAATTTCCGGATACATCCGCGAGTATATCGGGAAGTTACTTGACTGTACTCCTAACTGAACTCGCGTCGTAGCGATATCGATTTTGAATTTTAGGCAAACACTGTCTTACAGCTGATGAACTCAAAGTCTATTGTCGACAAATCAGAAGAGACGATAGTTGAACAAACTTAAACGGAACTCCACGATAAAATGCGATAGATTATGGGAACAGGATGTATCTAAATTTTATTTACAAGGAAGCACAATCAAGTATTTCCTTCCGATTTTATACCCGATTTTGTATCCAATAAGCTTTGAATATGTTAAAATATAGATAGAAATAAAAATGTACGTATTTTTTATAAGTACTCCATTACATGTTTATGATTTTAAAAAAATTGTATCCACTGAAAAACTCTCATCTATACATTTAATATTATATTTCGTAAAAAAAATTTTATTCTCAACTTCTATTATCAACTTAAAAAGTAGTTATAATCGTACTTGATCATCTATTCTCTTGTCATTCGCGGTTAGTTCTCTTTTTTTTTTAATAAAGTGCAAAAAAGAGTTTACAAAATAACAATTAATAATAATTAAATAAACAAAATACAATTATACAATAAAAAAAAAATAATTAAATAAATTTTTTTTTGATTGTATAACAATTAAATACGACTATGCGTTGCAATTTTTTGGAAAATAAGCGCTTTTCCATTCGTTTCATCTGTTTATAAATAGTGTAATCGCAGCGCAATATGCGACTGCACGTAACAACACATGGACTATGCAATAAATTTCAATGATAAATTTCTGACGGAAAGAATTTTTAGATTGTGCCCGGTTATCTTTGCTTTCCGAGCTGCTATATTTTTCTGGGTGTAATGTAACGAACTTCAAAATGGTGTGAATGCACATTGTGCACACAGTGTAAACCGTTTGAGAATGTTATTTTCTATTTTTCTAATTTTAGTCGCATCATAATATTTGGAAGTGCAAACAATGAGAAATTCTGAAAAGGATTTTAAAAAGAGAATCCTAAAAATATTCTCTCTTTCTCTCCGTCTATCTATTTATCTATCTATCTATCTGTTTATCTATCTTATCAGATTTTTAACCGTTTTATTCCTAAAAAAATTCTGTCTTTTTCTCCTATCTATTTATCTATCTATCTATCTGTTTATCTGTCTTATCAGATTTTTTTTAACCGTTTTATTTCTAACAATATTTCGAAACGTTTGTTCCGGATCAACATGTCGAATAAATGAAAAAATGTATTGCAGCGTGTAATTGTAGCGTAACGTGGAACACACTACCGCAAATCGTGAAAAACTTTAGTGATAAAATTACGAAGGACGAAGAGAGAAGGCAAGGGAAATTTTCGAATTTCGTTTAGTCGGATTTGTGTTGGAAAACGTAAAAACAGAGCATATCCCGCGAACGCTTGCAATCGTGCCACGAGTGATAAATGCGAATCGAACGTGGCGAGTCGAGAAGAATAAATTAATTTCCGCCAAGTGGATAGGTATTAGTCGCGCGGTTGAATGCATCGGCTGCAATGCCGCGACGCTGATGATCCCTTTCACTGCGGGCACTCGAAAGACGATATTTACGAGAAAAGGTAATGGACCGTGATGAGCGGAAACGATCGGCGTGGATGCGCCATAAAAACTGCGATCTGGAAAAGCGCTACGATAGAATTACAAATTATTAGAATTACGAGCTGCTGGTAATAGGATGGCGAGAGAGGGGAAAATGGAGCTTTTTCATTAAAAGCTAAAATATACATCGTGTACACTGAAATGAAAAAGAGTAGAATTGGCGATCGGATACGCGGAATGCGTTTAATTATTGTAACACGGGAGTAAATGTAGTGGAATAAAAGCTGGCGATGTCGTAAGCCGCGATCTTGATAGCGTCGATTCAATTTCACGTTAAATTATATTCTTGTGGGACGCGCCTTTTATCGTATAGAGTAGAAGATTGGGTATCATGAGTATCTTAAAAAGAAACATTTGATATTTCTTAAGAAAACATTTTGATACTTCTCCCATATTGAAGAATAAAATATCTTATTTCTATTATTTAGTAGATTTGTTTTATATATGTTGGTATTGAAATTGATTATTTTAATCCAAATATTGAAATGATGGGAGGTGCTTTTAATACCTAGTGCTCTCACATTAATTTTTAAATACGATAATATAGGTATCTATGTAGGTAATATGAGCACAGGAAATTATCTGAATGATATTATGTAGAAAGATCGTGTCATCGATTTTGACGTGTGCAGTTCCTTTGGCACCTTAAAAATAAAATTATCAGGTACTTATCATACAATATAGATACTTATTCGTCTATTCACGTAACATCCAAATCTGTTCATAGTATGTATCCAAATATATACTTTATAATAAAAATAACTCTTTCTTAACTGTTAAAATGTTTAATTTTTTTCAATTGGAATTCTATGTTGTTAGATTAAAATAATAATTAAAATAACCAAAATCAACATATCTTCCAATTTGTAAAGATTGACATTAGACTTATAAACATGCTTATAATAGACGATGCATCCCATTAAAAAAAAAACTTTTATCTTACAAATCAATAATGATCTCGATCGGAAGTTTGTAATTAGGACCAGCTCAATATTGTTTATTTTATAACATATAAAATAAGATATTCTAACTCAATGTAGATTAAGAACTTTATGAAATTTAGGGAAAAATATAAGAAACAAAAATAATGATAAATATATTTATTTAATTCGATAAATTTCCGAAATAAAAATAAATATAGTTTAAACTCAGCAACATATTAAGATGTTGCGTTAGATGCATTTTTTCACAGCAAATAGTATTACTGGTACCATCCATTGCTGAAATCTAAATACTCATATTATCTAAAGTACTCATAATACTCAATTCTACATAGCCTTGTTAACATAAATCAATTTAACAACTATTTAAGCCACGCCGTTTTCCATTTCTTATTTTTGAAACGTGAAAAGAAATTTTGGTGACACGCACTTTCGAATAAATTAAAGCAAGGCGAAGGAATGTCACTTCAGTTGGAAAACAGACAGAAAGACAGAAAGCATCAGGTAGAGAGCTTTCGTAAAGTGAAGATGTGCACAACTTTGCAAACTCTTCAGCAGACATGAAAGTGGCAAGTTTGCCCGATTAGCATCTAACGGTCTTTGATCTCCGTCGTACTGAACACTTGTGCTATTGATTAATCAATGTCTGTGCCTCCCGCAGATCCGCTGTCGACACAGATTCCCGTGGCTTCTCTTTTTAATACTTCCGTTCTAAGCGCGCCAATTCCTGCACACCGAAACTTTCTATATCGATCAAATTTCGAGTGGTTCGCGAACTTTATTGAAAACCACATGGACGAAGGGGATATCGATATCCATACCGCGAGAGAAATCTATATATAAAAATGTATTGTGATTGCAAGCATTAATTAAATAAAATAAAATAAAATAAATATTGTTTGTAGCTCCAAACATAAATTCAACAGAAAAATTGTTATAAAAGTCTGTGCGGTTGTTGGTGCACAAATAATATATTTACTAACAAGGGAAAGAATTCA